TRYTGSTRGTAGTAGTTTGCAGRTATTAAATAAASTTCATTCAAATCTTATTAGTGCTACAARAAGTATTAATCCTACAGACATGCTGCAAATGACACTTTCTTCRCACTGCAAATCAATAGAATTACAAYGTGAGCCAGCTTTACACTGAACACAATTGATACAAAAAGTCAGACACATGTTTTCTCTCCACTCCCTAACCTGTCCAACTGAAGCCATTTTATTTTTCTCTGACCCTGAATCTTCTTYACCATCCAAGAATGCCACAAACATCTAAACCACATACTATATCAGAGTTTATGAAAAAATCTACAGGAGCTACTACTAGTAGTAGTAGTAGTAGTACTAGTACTAGTACTTCCATGGTCGATACCCATCCTAGTATCACCCAGCACTACTTCTCCATTGACCAATATTAAACAACCACCAGAGTGTGTCAAACAAGATGATAGGCTAGTAGCCTTTGAGGCATATTCCAAGAAGTGATGGCACAAAYAAGAACCTCAAGAACCACCCAAAAGGGTCCTGCAAGGAGAACARTACTACCAGGAGCTCAGTCATGAGCCTCTAGGACTGGACCTAGTACATATACTATAGGGCACAAACCTATACCCTATTATATACTACATACTACAACAACTTACAATGCACTATTTATGATACCTACACTACACAAAGTACAACAAGAGTAATGAGCATTAAGAATATCTTTCACTGAGAACAGCCACTAGCTACATGACACTCCTGACACCAAAGATTTGACAATACTACTAGAGTGTCATACAAACAGAACTCTAGTAAGAATCCCCCTGTACAAYCTATACTACAATCTACAGGGAACAGGGACAATCTAAAGTATTCAACAGCTTACCTTTACTACATGGATTAGCATGTAAGTGTGTGTTGACACTTTCAAGGATACCAAATAAGATTATTCATTTTTATTATTTTAAAACCAAATCTATATGATATTTGTGTGCAGGTCCTGCTTACTGATATTAGCAAGAACCATATTATCATTAGCATTAATGCTCAACCAGTACTAGCATTCAAATTAGTACCTTATATCATCAGAACTGTTAGAAGTAGCTAGCACCAGCTGCTACTACTACTCCTGTTACTCTTGCTACTAGTAGAKTAGTATTACTGATAGATTGTAGTCCTTGTGCTCATACTGTGCTTGCATCACCAGCAGCCATCATGGCTATCATTGCTTGTATCAACACTGCTGGTACTAGCTACTATAAATGAGTAGTAGTAGTAGTACTACTACTAGTACTAATACTAGCACTAGCATCAATAGATTTCTTGTACTATCAGCACTGCCTAATATATTTTCATGTTATTAGCACCACTTGTCTTGTTGTGTCCTCAGCTGATTTTTCTAGTATGATGAGTGGTGAATCACATTGGTAGATCATAGTTTTAGCAGATCTTACTAGTACTACTACCTAGTAGTAATGTGGGCACATCATATTGCATAGAATTGGCACCCAAATCTATGTCAGTACAGTCTTAGATTTTGGGCCCTTATTTTTCTGTGTAATGACTAGCTTGACTTTAAAAATGACTTTTACTGCAGTGTACACCAGCCAGGCATGTGCTGATATTTTTAATCCCATGATTTCAGTATGGTCAGCAGTTTTGCACACACAAATGCTTGCAACCATATTTTTGGCTTGAATTTTTTGATCCCACAACAACTCATTACACACTAAAAAGGGGCCCAGAATCAACACACAGTACAAAAACATCTAGAAAATTAAGCAAGGGTCAACTCACTGTAACAGCTGTATCTTGGTCCCCAACAGTCTGATAGTAAGAAGAGAGATAGGCACATGAATTGAAATCAAAATTAAACAGGATTCTACTAGTTGTTATATGGAGGAGTGAAGGTCTGAGTGATGTTAATTCTTGATATTGCTGTATGGATACACACCAGCACTAAAAATCTATGATAYAATTGTGCTTGTTCAAAACACCAATGCTATATGGTGGTGATACCAAAGGAGGACTTCTAGTGGTACTAGTACTAGTGGTAACAGCAACTTCCTACTACTACTAGTAACCAGCACCACCAGCACTCATTTCAGCAGCTTGCTTGTTGTAGTATTGTACCATTCTGCTTATTCTAAATACTCTTAGAAAGCCCTAATAGACTGACAGGAATGCTGGCTTGATGCCAGTCTTCTTGGGAATTTGGAATCTTAATCATAGTTCAACCATAGTAAGACTTAAAAGAGGGTGCCAAACAAGTCTTAATTTTGGCAGCCCTTTCTGATGAGTCTTTCAATGGACTGGAAAATTTTATTCCTGGGTTCTGCTCTAAAAGTAGTAGAGTATTTGGGATGGGTTGCTTTGACCAGTTCTAAATATGCCAAGTCTGGAGTCACACGCTCTAAATTTTTGGTCTGTCAGTGTATCAAATTTAGAGATTTTAGAATAACAGGAATCACCCATTGAGTCTATTAATAGTACTCTTGTTACTATGAGCAATAGTGTCATTTTTGCTTAGTGCTGGATTTGAAGCATTACTAGTACTAGTAAGTGTCTGAAGAACTAACTGTAGTATAAGACTACTAGCATTGAATAATATCATGGTGATAGGTGTTCAATATCATATGATCAAATTGAACATGGGGATAAATACTCAAAATGACATGTAGAACAAGAGAAAGATCCACCACTTGTTGTTGTAGAAAAATATTTTTCTCTTCTTACTACTAGTGGATATGTGGAGAGGAATTCTACAATTTAAATTATCATCTTTAGCATCATGATGATGGCAATGATACCAGTACTACAAACAAACAAACAAACAAACAAACACACACACACACACACACACACACACACACACACACTCATGACTACTAGTGCACAGTAGTAATCACCAGCAACCACCAAAGATTATGATGATATTACTGGAGAGAAACTTCTTCCAAGAGAACAAAATAAGAAATTAGGTCTACAATCTTCATGAAACTTGGTATTCCATCATTGTTTTTTTAACGTATTATTCATTCTGAAGAACACCAGAATAAACAATTATATATAGTACCACTACTACAGTCAACATCAGAAGATATGATTCTTTTGGTCTCAGATTTCATTTGCCTCAATGAATGTTCTGAAGAGGAATTTGTTTACTCACAATCCAAAAATTATGTTTTGTTTTTCTCAGTCCATTTGAAGTACTAGTATTTGAGCTTTGTTTTGCTGAAATGATTGTTTGTGTATCCTTGCCACCAGCTGGAAATTCTGTGTTGATTTCTGCTCCAATTTTYAATTATTAGAAAGGATATCAGTCATCTGATGATCATAACAAATCTGTTAAATACTGACCTTYGYATTCATTACAACCACCAAGACAACAGCCTTTTTCACTCTGGTGGTGGTAGTACTACTACTTGCTGTATCACAATACATGGTGATCATAGCTAGTAGTAGGAAATATCTAGTTTAAACAATARTACTTTGTTTCATTACTCTTACCAGTTGTAGAGTACTATTTTAATCATGATCATCTGTGTGGTGCTGAACAGAGTGATTGGTCAGATATTGTCAACCATGATAGTAGTTGGAGTTGAGACAGACATTCTTCCTTTCAACAACAAGTGAAACAAATGAACCTGTTACACAGTTTTGTTTYGATTTGTATCCATGTATTTGTCAAAGTTCTCACTATTAAATTTGYTCAATGGTTCTTCTCACCACAATCATTCTTCTTGTTTACATCCCAGGGTATTGAAGTACATTTTTAGAACTTTCCACTAAGAAGCAGCTATTTCATCAATCAGTTACTGGTATATCASTGGTGTCTTGATCAGCAGATACGGGGATTGCAGATTGCAAGAATTATGCCAAACATTTTGATTAGTTTCAACCATCAGCCCCATGTCAAGATTTCTCTGGGAGTTTTGCAATATGTATTGTCATGAATAAGAGAGACTGGAATTTAATCTTGCATTTTGCTTCTTTTTCACTTCTATTTTCAAATGTTTTCCAAACATATTTATTTGAAGTCTAGAGTGACTGCTGCTTTTTCCATCTTAATGCAACAACAAACAATTCAATTTTAGAATCTTATCCACCAAGAAAAAAGGGTTTACTAGACCATGCATGATATAATAGGGCTTGTTTAGATATTGCATTATCACCAGAACCCCCCATTTCATCTTTTGCTTAGCCTTGAATTCATTTGCCTTTGACTGTTAGATGACTATTGGGGACCAAGTTCTGTCTTAATGAAACATTTTCACACATTAAGGTTATGCATTGATGTTGGAGAGCATTGGTGGTACCAAGACTGCCAAAAGTATCAC